CAGAGAGGGGTGTCAGTAGAGCATCGGATATGGCAGTTCCAAATTGTAATGCAAACGTGAGGCTGAATACAACAGCTCAAAATATTGATATCTATGAGAGATTGACGAAGGCGGCTCAAGATGGGAATATTGAGAGACTCTATGAGTTGATTGCAGAAGATCCAAATATTCTAGGACACTTTGATAAAGTGCCTTTTTGTGAGACGCCACTACACATTGCAGCTGAGAAAGGGCAAACTCATTTTGCCATGGAGTTAATGACTCTTAAGCCGTCGCTTGCTTTCAAGCTAAACGCGTCAGGTTTCAGTCCAATGCATTTAGCTCTGCAAAACAACCATATTCGGATGGTGAGAGGGTTTGTGGCAATCGACAGCAGCTTAGTCAGCATCAAAGGAARAGGAAGGATTACTCCTTTGCATCATGTRGCTCRAAKWGGTGATGCRGAKTTGTTGAGTGAGTTCTTGTTTGCTTGTCCATCTTCTGTAGAAGATTTGACGATTAAGTGTGAGACAGCCGTGCACGTTGCTGTGAAGAACCACCAGTTTATGGCATTTAAGGTTCTATTGGGATGGGTTAAGCGAGTAAACAGGGAGGAAATCTTGGACTGGAAGGATGAAGATGGAAACACAGTCTTGCATATTGCTGCATCGATTAATGAAACTGAGGTACATGTCTCTGTGATAGTTTAGTGTCTTCTTTTCCATACAAATGTGATAGATCCTGCTTTTGAACAGGTACTTGTTGGTCGCCAGACATTGCTTTCGTTGTATGAATTGGTTCTGATCTGATCTTAGACATTGCTTCTAGTAGTAGTATAATAATTTTAGTTGCTTAAGTCATGGGATAAATTCCTTTCTCTATATTAGGATTGTGTTTCAAGAAAGAACTTTGGGAATAGGAAGTGCACAAAGTTGGGCATTGGAATTTATTTCCTTTGGACGGAACATAGGACAGGGATTTAGAATGAGACAAGTCTCTTTGGAAGAGCTTGTCTCTTTATTTCTCTATTTCATTCCGATCCTTAAATAAAATCGTCTGAATTTCTTCTTCCTTTCATTCGTTTTTCTAATCTCACTGACCACAGCTCCATCACTCTCTCATTTAGTTTCTTCATTTTTTATTTTTTTTGCGCTAGTCTGAGATTTTTTTTTTTAACTCCCACTCCTTAGTACATGTTTATCTTGCTCTCCTTTCATGCAAACTGTATTTGGCTATGCTGGAATTGGCAATTATTACTCTATACCTGCTTGGAAAATCCAATTGGCAATGAGTAGAATTAATTCATGGCCTTATATATTTGATTACGTCTCATATTTTTACCAATTGTTAGATGCCTAATAGGATATGCGCTCGATTTTGCAGGTCATGAAGTTGCTACGTAGAACTGTTAAAGTAAAAGCCAAGAATTTGGATGGTAAGACCGCAATGGACATACTCCAAACTCACAAGTCTCCTCTTTTCCCCAAAGTAAGTAGACTCCTCCGCAGTGCTAAAGAAAGACTACTTTTTGGTCCCACGATGACTCTTGCGGGATATCTAAGCAAAAGACCATCATTTATTGAGAAACAGAACAAGCTCTTGGGGCTGAACAATCTGAGCAAGACTAGACACGGGTCTCTAAACACAAGCGATTTCCGCAATGCAATACTTGTGGTGGCTGTATTGATAGTAACTGCCACATACCAGGCAGGTCTCAGTCCTCCTGGCGGATATTGGCAGGAAAATTCCCCAGATTCAAACAAAGATGATGACACTAACAGTGGTCATGCGGCTGGGCAGATGACAATGTCTTTCAACCATGCTTTATTTTTCTATATCCTCAACGGAATGGCCTTCTTCTCATCTCTATATGTGATCATCATCCTCATAATTGGACTCCCCATGTGGATGGTCCTTTACGGTTCAACGGCAGCTCTTGGGATTGCTAATTATGCATCGTTCAGCGATACATTCCCGAATTCAAATAGCTCGCTCGGGGATGTCGCAGTAGCTCTCTTGCCCTTTGCATACCCAGTGATTACAGGATTCTTATTATCATTTCCTTTCTTCACATTCTATCTCAATAAACGTCGCAGGCACCAAGTGGACTTTCCGGCAAAATACTTCAACTCATCTCAGGAACCATCGTAATGAAGTCTGAAGCGTTCAAGAGTGGTATTTAATTTGTCTGAAACCAAGCTCTTCCATATTTTCCCTTGGTTGGTGTCTAGTTTGTTTTTCACTCTATGTAAGACTTCAGTTTCTGTCCATTTTTAAGATTAAGATCTTCCACGTTCACTTTTATGGTACTATCCATCAGACCAACTCTCCAGACAATTTGGAGCAGCCTGATAATTTTTCTGCGTGATGGCTGTTATCAAATTGAATAAAAGAGAAATACAAAAAAGATGAACATAGTTTGTGCGAGTAAATTCTTCTAGAACTGAAAGCAAAAAGGGTCTTACTATATTGCAGGGGTTTAGTTTCTATCTTGCTCTGTAGTATAATTTTTTTATTTTTTCTCATAGGGCACATGCAAAATATCTAAAGTTTCAATTATGTATCTATGTGATTTCTACTTTCTCATATACAAGTGTGTATGTGAATGAGGTATGTATTATCATTCTGATATGTGTACATGATATTCCATATCACTCTTTAAGTCGAACCATATGGAACTTAAGTCAAATTTAAAAATTTCTTGATGATGACGGGCTTATGAAATACCATTGCTACATTACGCTTATTGGAGGTTGCAATTGTTGAATTTTATAACCAGTCATTATCAACTTTATCTTCATCAATGGGATGGTAAATGTTTCTACTAAGGATATCAAAGTGAGAATGACATGATGGTGGCTGAAGGTGCCTATGATCAAATGCCTTTTTGTGAGACGCCACTACACATTGCAGCTCAAAAAGGGTGTACTCATTTCGCCATGGTACTCACCACTACCTATGTGGATGGAAGGTCATCTATGGTTCCACGGCGGCTAATTTCGCATAGTTAAACAATACTGGTCATTTTTCTCTTTGCGTACCCCGTGATTACAGGATTCATAGTATATGCTCCGTTTGTGGCATTCTTTCTCAATAAACGCCACAGGCGCAGAGTGGACTTCCCAGCGAGGTACTTTAGCTTACCTCATGAGCTATCGTAATCAAATGTGAAGCGTTCAACTGTGTGTTTATGTAAGTCTTGGTTAGCATAATATATGGTTGTGGAAGTTTTGTTAAGATTTGAGTTTGTATCAATTTGTTTAATTGTACTACTGCTCTGAATTGAATTTGCAGCCCATTGACTGTAATAATAGCTTATATGTAACTTACGATGATAGGATACGTATAAAAAACAAACCAATTCTTCATAGAGTTGTGGGTGAAAACTGTTTGGTGTTGCAGGTCAAAAAGCTTGAAGTTTAACGTCATTTGAAAATCAGTAGTAAATAAACCTAACTGCATATTATTTATGTATACAAATACCATAAACTATAACACTATTCATAATCACGTACCAATTTTTCCCTCTTAATATCTTTGTTTTAGTACATAGTTTCTTCCTCTTTTTTTTGTCACGTAGTACCTAGTCTCCAATTGTTAATATCACTACTTGTGTCGATAGTTTCCTTTTTTGTCATGTAGTACGTAGTTTCTTTTGTTCTATCGTGGAATGCTAAATAAAGTATAATTGCAAACATGACAAGACGAAGATTATCTTTCTACAATATATACTAAAATGGAGCAAGTTCTCATTTTGAAATGCCATTAAATTCATCAGTAGTTGCCATGTTATTGCGAAAAAGAGATTGTCACTCTGATAAAGACTTGTTAGTTGACCTGGTAGACATATGGTAAGCGATTAGGACAATGAAGGCTCTTCATATTACATACATGAAGATAGTTTATTATCATAAGAGACGGAGACTTTGTGTTGTGTACTTAAGTCTGTGTTGCAGCCGCAGGGACCAAGAAAACAAACTGTAGAGGGAGAAGCCTTGGATGACTAGTGAAGCTATGTCGATTGCTTTCAATGTAGAAGGGGATGTCAATGGAGTATCAAATATTGTGGCAGCTCAAGATGGAAATCTCAGTGCGAGTTCAAGTACTCTACACGAGAGATTGAAGATGGCGGCTGAAGGTGGGGATATTGAGGGACTCTACAATTTGATTGCAGAGTCTCCAACTATTCTAGGACACTATGATCAAAAGCCCTTTTGTGAGACGCCACTACACACTGCAGCCGAAAAAGGGCAGACTCATTTTGCCATGGAACTAATGACCCTTAAGCCGTCGCTAGCTTTGAAGCTAACACATCAGGTTTCAGCCCAATGCATTTAGCTCTGCAAAACAACCATACTCGCATGGTGAGAGGGTTTATAACAATTGACAGCAGTTTAGTCAGCATCAAGGGAAGAGAAAGGATTACTCCTTTGCATCATGTAGCTCAAAGTGGTGATGCAGAGTTGTTGAGTGAGTTCTTGTTTGCTTGCCCTTCTTTTGTAGAAGATTTGACGATTAAGTGTGAGACAGCCGTGCACGTCGCTGTGAAGAACCACCAGTTTATGGCATTTAAGGTTCTATTGGGATGGCTCAAGCGAGTAAACAGGGAGGAAATCTTGGATTGGAAGAACGAAGATGGTAACACAGTCTTGCATATTGCTGCATTTAATAATCAAACAGAGGTAATTAAATGTCTCTATGATCGTATAGTTTCTCCTTTTCTAGAAAGTTCTTGTTCTGCCACACAAATTCTTGTCCAGACATTGATATATATTGGTCCATGAAAATGGATAGATACAATTATTACTCTAGTATTTCTTTGGAGCTTCTCTTAGCATATGGGAATTTGCTTTCTTGGATTGTGCTCTTATGAAAAAAGTTCATGGCTATGAGTGGGAGTTAGGTTTCTCATGACCGTAGTGTATATTTTACTTATTGATGTCTCATATCTTCTTATCAATGTGGGATTCCTAATATACTTGTTCCAAGAATTTATGGGTGAGTTATGCTCGTTTTTGCAGGTTATGAAGTTACTACGTGGAACCGTTAAATTAAGAGCCAAGAACTTGGATGGTCAAACCGCGAGGGACATACTCTCTACTCTTTCCCCTGCCGCAACCAGCCTATTCCAGAGGGCTGACCCAAGACTATTCTTTCGACTTTTTGGAAGCACAACAACTCTTGCGGGATATTTGCACAAGAAACCATCGTATATCGAAAAATGGAACAATCTCTTTGGGCTGACGAATCTGATGAGCAACACTAGACACAGATCACTAAATAGTAACGATAGCCGCACTGTGATACTTGTGGTGGCTATACTGATAGTAACCACTACATACCAGGCTAGTCTTAATCCTCCTGGCGGGTTTTGGCAAGAAGATTCCTCAAATCCCAAAGATGACGATGGTCACTATGCTGGGCAGATAATAATGCGTTCTCGCAATGCCTTATATTTTCTTGTCCTCAACGGAATTGCCTTCTTTTTATCTCTCTCTGTGATCATGATCCTCACAGTCGGACTCCCCATGTGGAAGGTCCTCTACTTATCCACAGCAGCTCTAGGGTTTGCTATTTCGGCATCCTTCTACGTTTCATTACCAAATACACCTAGCTCCTTACAAACTATCGTCAAGCTTGTCTTCGTTTCGGGATACCCAGTGATTACAGCAGTTGTAGTATGTGCTCCTCTCACGGAATTCTTGCGCAATACACTTCGTCGGGCCCAAGTGGACTTCCCCGCAAGGTACTTCACCTCACCTCATGAGCTATCGTGATGATCAGCTCAGCTTCCAAATGTTTTGATTAAGATTTGAGTTTCTCTATCCCCTTTTTACTCTGAATTGAGTTTTCAACCTTTTTTGCTTATGTGTGTGTGTGTGGTCTATCACTCACATGCGCACTTTGATAGCAGTTTCTGTAACTTACAATACACTTAATAATACGCTATTATCAATATATCGTATGTGATAGTTGTTTATTAGTACTTGTTGCTCCATTTGTGCATTCTTTATCAATAAGCATCGCAGGCACCGAGTGGACTTTCCGGCGAAATACTTCAGCTTAACCTCATGATGTCAGCTTTGCTTGCATGAATCAGTCCTGTGACTTTTTGGTGTCTGTTATAAGTCAGTTTATATTAGGTTTTGTTTTAACATTTTATGCAAGATAGAGTTTGTATGCCTATATATATTAAAGTCTACTACCTCTAATTAATAAACTATAAAACAGTTCTTCATAAGAGTACAGTTTCTCTATCATTTATATGAAAAACGTTAATTAGATTATTAATTAAGTTTCTTTTGTAACATACATAAAAGAACATATAAATATACTACCATATGATCTCAATAACTTCGCAATCAAAACTTAGACACTAACAAAAAAATAAGAGTAATTAGCATATATAATACCCTTTACACCAAAAATTTAGCATATAACATACTCTAAATTATAATTAATTAATTAACATTTACAATATTTAGAATGACTATTTTAGCCTTTTAACTTATTTGTCAGTTTTAACTTTTAATAGTAAATAATAACAATTTAAGATTTTTACATTAAAAAAACAAATAGAAACCCTAATTTTTTGTCA